GGTTCTCACAACTTACCCCTGAGGCCGCCAGGCTCGAGGAGCACCTGGCTGCCGCGTTCTGACTTCCAGCTGTGCACGAAGAAGATGACGCACCTCGAGACTGGGGCTCGCAACTTACTCCTGAGGCCGCCAGGCTCGAGGAGCACCTGGCGGCCGCGTTCTGACTTCCTGAGGGCCCAGTCGACGCTGTCGGAGATGCTGACCATGTGATCTGCGATGACGCACTGGTCGCAATCATCGTCGGCGAACCCGTCGTAGTCGATGGCTCCGTTGATCCGCACGCGGCAATCGACGGAGTCGATCTTGGCGGTCGAGTCCCCTCCAGCGGAAGGTCGGCCAAGCGAGGACGCGCGCCGACTGGGTCGGGGTCACTCGGTGCCAGGACCTGCGTCGCCTTCTCAGGGTGTCTCGGCCTCGTCCTCGGGTGTGGCGGGGAGGCTGATGCACCTGGAGTAGCTCTCGCAGGTGTTCGTGTGGGCTGGGCGCTATGACGATCAGGGGCTAAATCCCTGCGCACCCAGCCCTGCGTTCTCGCTGCGTTGCTAAAGGCCAGGTCGGGAGGCCAAGGATTCTGCTGCCAGGCGCACGGCACTGTCCCCTTGCGAGCTTCTCGCGGCTGTTCTTGGTGGTGGTGGGTGGAGTCGCCGTCTGTGTTGCAGGTTCCTCACCTTCGGCACGCTCTGGTTGGGCTGGCGGGCGGGCGCCTCCACTGCCGCCTGCTGCCGAAGCTCATCCGTCCACCTTGCGCTTCTTACCCTCCAAACGCTTGACGTGTTATGTGTGTGCCTCTTTCGCTTTGGAAATTTGCTCCAAGGCGCCCTTGAAGATGTTGGCGAGGTGCGTCTGGATGTTGTCCGAGGCCTCCGCTTTGCGTCGCTCCAGCTCGGCGATGTCTTGTTCGTCGAGCTCGTGGGATGCCGCCACATCTGAGATACCCAGGAAGTCGCCCATTGAGAAAACGTCTTTGAGGTCCACGCGGCCCTCGACCACTTCACGAATACTGAATTGGGCAGGGCGTTGAGGTGCCTCAGGCGGCTTGGTACCTGATGCTGACTGGATTTTTGCCAAGGCTTGTGTGACTTCCTCATCGGCCTCTTGGAGCTGTTTGGCCATGCTGGCGATGTGGCTCTCCAAGTCCGCGGTGGCGTTTCTGGAATGTTCCAGCTTCTCGTACTCACTGCTGAGTGTCTTCTCGAGCTGGGCTTGTCGGGCTTCGGCTTTCTGCCATCTCTGTCTGGCCGTAGGTGTCGTCGGAGCTGGTGGTCCACGTGTAGCCAGCGCTTGGTACCGTTTGGCACCTTCCGCATCCCCTGCCTCCCGTGCATTTTTTGCCAAGGTCCGTGCTTTGTCGGCATCCATGTTGGGTAGTGGTCATGGGGGTAGCGCTGCTGCTTCTGCTCCCAGAGCTGGGCCTGGCCGATCGTCACGTCCTTTACCTGTTCCTTTGCGTCCTTTCCCCTTTGTGTCGTGCTGGCCACCGCCGAGTGCACCTTCTTCACCAGGATCGGGCACTGCGGGCGCTGGCTTCTTAGCGAGGCTGGATCCACAGCGTTTGCAGCAAAGGGGGCCCCAAGTGTTCTTGCCGCAGCCGCAGGCCAGGCATGTGACCATCTCGAGCTTCCTGTGTCCGCTGGACGTGTACCAGTCTTCTTCGTCTCGCACTGCAGGAGCTGGCTGCTGTGATTCGTGCCAAGGGTAGGTGCCACCCCAGCGCCTTGTACGACGGCGCCAACGAGAAGGAGGCCACGCCACATCAGTAGCATCGCGTCCGCCCCTCTGGGCCATCAGAAGCTCCCTCTGGAGCGCGTGGGAAGCTACCTGTCCTGCGCTGGGGCTGGCCAACTCAGGATCCTGGTCAGGGCGAACTGCCCGAACAATGGATGAAAGGATGCGCCCGGCGCCCCCTCGATGGTTGTCGCGCAGCGGCGGGGAACCTCCACGCTCGAGCACCCGCGACACGGGGTTCGAACTTGAGCCAAAATGGCTACGCCTACTACGACGACGACGACTACGACTACGACTACGACTACGACTCCTACTACCACTACGACTACTGCGACGACTACTACTACTACTACTACTACTACTACTACTACTACTATTGCGACTACCACTCCCACCACTGTTACTACTACTACTACTACTACTACTACTACTACTACTACTACTACTACTACTACTACTACTACTACTACTACTACTACTACTACTACTACTACTACTACTACTACTACTACTACTACTACTACTACTACTACTACTACTACTACTACTACTACTACTACTACTACTACTACTACTACTTACTACTACTACTACTACTACTACTACTACTACTACTACTACTACTACTACTACTACTACTACTACTACTTCTACTACTACTACTACTACTACTACTACTACTACTACTACTACTACCACTACTACTGCCACACTACTACTATTATTCCGAGTACGACGACGACTACAACTATGATTACCTTTTCTTCTTCTTCTTACTGCTACTAGTACTATTGTTATTACGGTTACTATTACCGTTATTATTACTACTACTACTACTACTACTACTACTCTTATTTTTACTACTACTACTACTACTACTACTCTATTACGACTACTACTTCTACTACTACTACTACTACTACTACTACTGCTACTACTACTACGACTACTACTGCTACAACTACTACTGCTACTACTACTACTACTGCTGCTACTACTACTACTATTACTACTACTAATACGACTACTACTACTACTACTACTACTATTACTACTACTACTACTACTACTACTACTACTACTACTACTACTGCTCTTACTATTGCTAGTACGACGGCGACGGCGGCTACCACGACCACGACGACGACCACGCCTATTACTCCTAACGCTACTGCGACTACTACTACTACTACTACTACTACTACCACTACTACTACTACTACGACTACTACTACCACTACCACTACGACTTCGGTTGCTGTTGCTACTAGTACCACTACTACGACTATTACTACTACTACTACTACTACTACTACTACTACTACTACTATTACTACTAGTACTACTACTACTACTACTACTATCATTACTACTACGACTACTACTACTACCTACCTACCTACTACTAGTACGGCGACGACTATTACATTTACAAGAACGACTACTATTAGTTCCACTACTTATGTTACGGCTACTGCCAAGACTACTACTACTACTATTGTTGCTACCACTACTACTAGCACGGGTGCGACTACTGCTGCTACTACTTCTACAACTACCACTATTACTATAACTACTACTACTACTACTGCTACTACTACTACTACTACTACTTCTACTACTGCTATTACGAGTATTGCTTCTCCTTCTACTACTACTACTACTACTACTACTGCTACTACTACTACTCTTGCTACGACTACTCCTGCTACTAATGCGGCAACAGCAACAACTATTACGACTACGACTTCTATTACCACTACTACTACTACTACTACTACTGCTGCTACTACTACTACTACTACGACTACTACTATTACTACTACTACTACTACAACTGCCACTACCACTCACTACTGCCACTACCAGAACTACTACTACTACTACTACTACTACTACTACTACTACTACTACTACTACTACTACTACTACGACTACTACTCCTATTACTATTACTACTACTACGACTACGACTACGACTATTACTACTACTACTACTACTACTACTACTACTACTACTACTACTACTACTACTACTACTACTACTACTACTATTACTACTGCTACTGCGACCACTACTACTGCTACCTTTACCACGATTCATTAACACCCACTATGCTTATTCCTACGACTACGGCTGATATTTTTCCATTGCCACTATTGTTTCGATTGAAAATTACTACTTGCTTTTCGACTACTACTACTACTACTACTACTACTACTACTACTACTACTACTACTACTACTACTACTACGGCCACTAGCACTACTACTACGACGACTACTACTACTACTACTACTACTGATACTTTTACGACGGCCACTACTACCACTGCTCCTAATATTATTATTACTACTACGACTACTACTGTTACAACGACCACGACGACTACTACTACTGCTACCACCACTACTGCGGCGACTACTACTACTACTACTACCACAACTTTTACTACAAAGAATACTACCACTATTAGTACTACTACTACTACTACTACTACTACTACTACTACTACTACTACTACTACGACTACTACTACTACTACTACTACTACTACTACTACTACTATTACTACGATTACTACGACTAGTACCGTTACTAGTACTAGTACTGCTACAACTATTTCTTCGACTACGACTACTACTACTGCTACTTCTACTGTTACTACTACGAACGGCTTTTATTATTACGATAACTACTACTACTACTACTACTACTACTACTACTACTACTACTACTACTACTACTACTACTACTACTACTATTATTACAACGACTACTACGTTGACGACGGAGACTACTACCTCTACGAGTACTAGTATGAGTAGTAGTCGTAGTGGTATTATTGCGACGACGACTACTACTACTACTACTACGACTTTTACGACTACTACTACTACTACCACTACTACTACGACTGCTGCTAACTACCAGTACTACGACTACTACGACTACTACCAGTACTACTACGACTATTACTACTACTACTACTACTACTACTACTACTACTACTACGACTACTACTACTACTACTACTACTACTACTACTACTACTTGTACTTCCACTTCTACTGCTACTACGACTAGTACGATTACTATTGCTACGATGATTAAACACATCATTTTAAAATTGCAGCCGCAACTACAACAATAACGGGGCGGATAGCGCCCCCATTCCCAACGCGCCCCCTCTGGTGTCGCGCAAGGTCACGCCTGCCACCCCCTGCACCCACCCTAGACAATGCCACGCCTTCCGTGCTGCGCCCCACTGCAGGCCGAGGACCTCCTCGTCCTGGACGGCCGCGCTCGCGGTAGCCCGCCGGGCGTGGCCGCGGCGCAAGGGGTGCTTTCGCAGGCCTGTGGGAGGGGGGAGTCTCTCCGGTCTTCTCTTGACGACAGACCCCCCCAGCAGGGAAGCGCACACATGGCTCGAGGAGCGTGGATTGACGACGGGCCCCGCTCTCGCACAGGAGCGGCGCGCTCCGTTGCCGACTCAGGCGATGTTGGCCTCATGTTTCCGTAGTCCATGTTAGCGTGCGCCCGACGGAAGGCGGGGTGTTTCTTCAGAAGGACGAGAAGGCTGGGCATCCTCAGAAGGGCCCGGAGGACTCTGACCGGGCATCCTGGGGAGAGGCGGGAGGGCTGGCCCCCCCCCCATCCCGTTAGCGCGCGCCGCCAGCCATCGTCGTCATTCAGGTTTCGCAGAGCTCGTGGTCGGGCAGCAGGTGTAGTACCGTCCGTCTTATCCCTGGTCCCACTGGGCCATGGTATCGATGTTTCCCTTGCCCGACGAGCCAGCCCTTCCAGGTGGGCAGCGGCCGCGCGAAACCCGAATGTACAGGCGTACGCCCCCACCTCGATGGGTGAGTCGGCCAGTGAGACCAAGGCCACGCCAGTGGGGAGAGGGATCGGTTAAACCGGCTGAGCGAATCTTATGGAGCAGACGAGAGAGCGCGCGGGGCACTCACGCAGCAACCATGCAGAGCAACGCATGGCTCCCCCAAGGGGGCCACGCTGCTTGGGGACCCGCGGCCGCCGAGCCCAGGCGGAGCAGCGGGCCCTGCTCTTCCTCCGGCGCGCCGGCGTGGCGGCGGAAGATTTCCCCGAGCTGATCCCGAACTTCTTCGTCGGCGCCGCGGGCCGGGCCAAAGGAGGATGTCGAAGAGGACCGGAGATCGCGAGGGTCGAGGTTCGCTAGGCTCGCGAGGCCTTTCCCCAACCCTACTGCGTTGGGTTCTCGCTTTGAACAGAGCACTGTGGTCTCCACTCCTCCTCTCCTCCTCCTCCACCTCCCTCCTCCAACCTCACTGGGGGGCCACGAACTGCGCAACCGTCACCACTCTCGTGGGCTCCTGGGAGGTCCAGCGGAGTCGGGGGCCATTTGGGACGCTGGGCAGGGCGTGAGCCGCTCGGCCGGGCGCGGGGCCGGCGGGGCCGCGGGGGCCAGGCGCAAAGTGGTGCGCGAGGCGCCAGGGCTTTGCGTGCGACGCCATCACCGTCGCGGTCTTCGACGCCCTCCCGCGCATGCATACGTACGGGCCCCAGGTGCGGCTTCCGTTGTGCAGTGGACTGCTCCCGGGGTGGGGGCGTGCGCTGGTTTCCGATCAACGTGCTCGGGCTCTCGGGCAGACCCGCGGCCGAAAGGAAAGGAGGCCGGGAGAGGGTGGAGGGAGGAAAAGGAGGGAGGAGAAGGAGGAAGAGGAGGAGGAGGAGGATGATGAGGAGGAGGAGGAGGAGTAAGAGGAGGAGGAGGAGGTGAAGGAGGAGGAGGAGGAGGAGGAAAAGACGGGGGAGGAGGAGTAAGAAGAGGAGGAGGAGGTGAAGGAGGAGGAGGAGGAGGAAAAGACGGGGGAGGAGGACGAGGAGGAGGAGGAGGAGGAGGAGGAGGAGGAGGAGGAGGAGGAGGACCGCGCCGCCCCGCGCCGGTGCAAGGCACAGGGGAGCTGTCGGAGAGAGCCGTGGAGGGGCGCGGCGACAGGGGAATGCTGGGCGAGGCGCCCCCCGAGGGGACAGGAGGAGAGGGAGGGAGGGGGAGAAAATCTGAGGGGCGAGGGGCAGAGGGACATTAGAGGGCCATTTCCTGCACAAGGGTTCGCGATGGCTCCCAGGAGTGATTAGAGGGCCGATACATTCCCCGTTTGTGATTGCTTCTTTCGGTCTTAGCTGCGTTCGCACGGCGGACCTTTTGCTTCAGGTCAGTTCAGAGGAACGGGAGATGAAGGATGGGAGGGGTGAGGTGCGGGAGGGGTGGGGGGCAAGGCCGCCGCTCGTGGGTGTGACCCTCGGCTACAGTGGCCTTTGGCGCGGGGCTATCGGGAGGCGCGGAGGAGCGGGACGATCGGGGATGATGTTGGGCGAGGCGTCCCCTTCGTCCGGTCGGGCCCCAGGGCCCCTTCCCGTGGTGAAACACATGGCGGAGGTTTTTGAAGTGTTTGGCTGCTGGGGCCCCCGCCGGGCCCCAGGACCGTCGAAAAATGGCCCGGGAAGAAAGCTCAGTCCTGGGAAGGGGGTCCTGACCTCCATGGGTCCCAAGTGCCAAAAAATATGAAAACGGAAGGTCTGGGAAGGGAAGGAGATGGGTTTGTACACTCGCCTCGCCGAAAGCGCTCCATGCGCGCCCGAATCATCCCTCACGGCCGTCAGAGGCCCGAGTTACGACGAGAAGGCCAGACGACGTGGATCGCTCGGTTTGGAGGAAAGGGGGGAACGGAGAAGGGAGGGGAGGGTGCAGTCCACACGCCGAGATGAGGACCGCTTTGGGCTCCCGAGGGGCTCTCGATTGTCGGGCCAAGGACCCTTTATCCCTCGGGGCCACGGCTCCTGGCTTTCTCCGCCGCCCATTTTTTTGTTGTTTAGTCTTACCTCTGCTTTCGGCCTTCGCCAAGCGGGCGCAGGGCCCCTCCCGGCTGGCAACCCTCCAGGGCCTCCTGCTCCCTCCTGCTTCCTCCTCCTTCCTCCTTCTCCCTCCTCCTTCCTGCTCCCGGCTCCTTCCTCCACGTCCTTCTCCCATTGTGTGTTCCCCCCGAGTATGTGTATTGGTAGTAGTAGTAGTAGTAGTAGTAGTAGTAGTAGTAGTAGTAGTAGTAGTAGTAGTAGTAGTAGTAGTAGTAGTAGTAGTAGTAGTAGTAGTAGTAGTAGTAGTAGTAGTAGTAGTAGTAGTAGTAGTAGTAGTAGTAGTAGTAGTAGTAGTAGTAGTAGTAGTAGTAGTAGTAGTAGTAGTAGTAGGAGTAGTAGTAGTAGTAGTAGTAGTAGTAGGAGTAGGAGTAGTAGTAGTAGCGTAGTAGTAGTAGTAGTAGTAGAGTAGTAGAGAGAGGAGGAGGAGGAGGAGGAGGAGGAGGGAGGAGAGAGGAGGAGTAGGAGGAGGAGGCTAGGAGTAGTAGGAGTAGTAGGAGTAGTAGGGTAGTAAGTAGGAGTAGTAGGTAGTAGTATAGTAGTAGTAGTAGTAGTAGTATTAGTAGTAGTAGTAGTATAGTCAGTAGTATAGTCGTAGTAGTCGTAGTAGTTCGTAGTATCGTAGTGTAGTCAGTAGTAGTAGTAGTAGTAGTAGTATAGTATAGTAGTAGTAGTAGTAGTAGTAGTAGTAGTAGTAGTAAGTAGTCGTAGTAGTCGTAGTAGTAGTAGTAGAAGAAAAGAAGTAGTAGGATATGAGTAGGTATAGTAGTAGTAGTAGTAGTAAAGTAGTAGGAGGAGGAGGAGGAGAGGAGGAGGAGGAGGAGGAGGAGGAGGAGGAGGAGGAGGAGTAGGAGTAGGAGTGGTAGGAGTAGTAGGAGTAGTAGGAGTAGTAGGAGTAGTAGGAGTAGTAGGAGTAGTAGGAGTATTAGTAGTAGTAGTAGTAGCAGCAGTAGTAGTAGTATGACAATTGTTACTAATACTATTAGTAGTACTATTGTTACTATTGGTATGCATATTTTCTTCTGCATGACTGATCGTGATAGCAGTATCATGAATAGTACTTTTGATATTTTCATTATTACTTTTAGTCGTCGTATTCTTGTTATCATGATTCCTCCATCCTCCGCCCTGCTTTCTGCTCCATCTTCCTCCCTGCTCCCTTCACCTCCCTCCTCCCACCTCATCCTTCCATCTCCGTCCTCTTCCTCCTCCTCCCTCCTTCGCTAGCTCCCCCATTTCCTCGTCCTCCCGCCTGCTCCTCCGCTTCCCCCTTCGGCCTGAAGCCGCCAGAAAACGCCCCCGTCAACCCACTTTGATCCTCGATCTTCAAGTGTCGCCGACGACGACAATCGGCTGACGAGGACCGATCGACGACCGATTGAAAACCGACACCGACTGACAGACTGACGGACGACCGACGTCTAACTGACGACAACCGATTGACGACGACCGACGACCAGCCGAGGACCAGCCGTGGACGACTGGCGAGGAAAGTTACGCATCCACAGGCGAGCGACGAAGAATTTCGAGGGTTCGGGAGGGAAAAGAGTGCGTAACAGTGACACGCCGCAGCTGGAAGCCCCGTCACCATACTATTCCCTCGTTTCTGTCCGAAGGCATGGCGCCTCTTCGACAGCCACCCGCTGTTGGCTTCCCCACGGCGGGGTGCCACTGGTACTCCTCCTTGCTTCCTCAAGGGGGCCCGAGCTCCGCTGGTGGCGTGGCGGCCGGCCCGCCCCCCTCCCGAGCCCCCGCATTCCTCGGGCGCTCGTCTTTGAGTGTGGTGGGTCGTCGGTCGTCGGTCGTCTTCCGTCGGTCGTCGTCAGTCGTTTCTTGCGCCCTCAGGGGTGCCCAAGCTCAGCTGGGGGCGAGGCGAGGCAGCCAGCTCGCCCAAAGCGCGGGATTTGGCCCGCCGTGGCCTCGGGGAGGCCACACGCCCCAAGGGATGGGCACCTCCCAAGTGCTCCAAGGTTATCCGCATCCGCCAGGGTACCAGTATTGAGCCCCCCCAGAAATGTTGATGCTCCAGGCTGCCAGAATGGGACTGGATCGGATGGGCTCGTAGGATCGCGCCGCATCGCCGATGCATCGGCGACGCGGCTTCTTCTGGAATCCGACTTGCTCCACCCCGATTCTGCATATGCATTGCCATTGCATCGGCGATGCAGTGTGGCCCTCTGGCCCTCATCTGCTCCAGCCCAGTTCGGGTGGCCTCCAGATGTGGATGTTTCCAGGCGTTGCACTGGCTTTGCCAGCCTAAAACGTATCCCGACCATTGAGTGGCATCACCTCATTTTGGCGCCGATCTCAAGGAACCCTTCAGTTTCGGATTACCTATCCAGATCCACCTATCCGATCCCGTAAGATTGTGATCGCCTGCGGCCTGCTTGAGGAGGTCTCCGCAGGGCCTTCCAGAGGCCTTTCGGGAGGTCGCCAGAGATTCCGGAGGCCTCTGGAGGCCCGAACAGGAGGTCAAACAACGCTCAGACGATCGAGCCTGCTTGCTCCGCGAAATTGAACCAAGATTAGAAAGAGCGTGTTCTACCGCTGCTGGCGGAAAACCGGGGGGGTCATTACCGGTTCGACCCCCCCACCCCCCCTCCGGAAAACCGGGGGGGGGTCACTACCGGTTCGAACCCCTCCCCCCCCCAGTCCATCATGAAAGTGTGGGGGGGTCACTACGGGTTCGAACCCCCCCCCCCTCGAAAACCGGGCGGAGTCACTACCGGTTCGAACCCCCCCCCCCTCGAAAACGGGGGGGGGTGCGGACAGTGGTGGGGACGTTGGTGGTGGGAACAGTGATGAGGGGACAGCGGGACAGTGGTGGGGACAGTGGGACAGTGGTGGGGACGGTAGTGGTGGGGACACTGGTGAAGGCGGTGGTGAGGACAATGGTGGGACAGTAGCACGGTGGGGAAAGTGGTGGGGACAGTGGGGACAGACAGTGATGGGGACAGTGGGGACGCTGGGACAGCACAGTGTGACAGCGGCGGGGACAGTGGGACAGTAGTGTGGGACAGTGGTGGGGACCGTGGGGAAAGTTTGGAGAGCGGGACCGCGGTGGGACAATGGTGGGGATAGTGGTGACATTGACACACTGGTGGGGGCACTGGCGGGGACAGCGGGGACAATGGTGGGAACAGTGGGGACAGTGGGACAGTGGTGGGGACGGTGGTGGTGGGGACAGTGGTGTGGGGACAGTGGGAATATGGTGGAAACAGTGGGACGGTGGTGCGGACAGTGGTGAGGGCGGTGGTGAGGGCGGCGGTGGGACAATGGGACAGAGGTACAGTGGGGACAGTGGTGGGGACAGTGGGGACAGTGGTGGGAACAGTGGGACAGCTCAGTGGGACAGCGGAGGAGACAGTGGGACAGTGGGGACAGTGGGGACAGTGGGGATAGTCGGGCAGTGGTTGGGGCCGTGGAGAAAGTGGGGAGAGTGGAACCGTGGTGGGAACAGTGGTGGGGACAGTGGGGACAGTGCGACAGTGGTGGGGGCACTGGTGGGGACAGTAGGGACGGTGGTGGAACCAGTGGGGACAGTGGTGGCGAGGACAGTGGTGCTGAGAACAGCAGTGGGGGATGTGGTGCGGACGGTGGGAGGGACCGGGAGTCGTTTGCTGGCGGTGGGGGGGGGAGAGGTTCGAACCCGTAGTGAACCCCCCCTTTGTTTTCAAGGGGGGGGGGGGTTCGACCGGTAGTGACCCCCCTTTGTTTTCGAGGGGGTGGGGGGGTTCGAACCGTAGTGACCCCCCCGGCTTTTTGGAGGGAGGGGAGTGGGGGGGTTCTTCGAACCGGTAGTGACCTTCCTCTGGTTTTCCGGGGGGGGGGGGGGTCGAACCGGTAATGACCCCCCCCCCGGTTTTCCGACGGATTGGGGGGTGTTCGAACCGATAGTGACCCCTCCGGTTTTCTGGAGGGGAGGGGGTGGGTTAGGGGGGGGGGGAGGGGGAGTTGCCGGGGGAAGGGGGGGGGGGAGGGGGGGAGGGGTTTCAGCAGGGGGGGGGGGATTTTCGGAGAGGGGGGGGGGGGACCCCTGGGCTCCGGAGGAAGAGGGGGGGGAATTTTCCACAGTAAAGCGGCGGTGGATCACGCTCTCTCTAAGATTAATGTGTGCGCCGTTAGGCCGAAAGCAAGTTTTTGAAAACGACCCCTTTCCATCCGTGACTGTCGCAACTGCCAAGCTTCATGATCAGAATTGTAAGACAGCCTCAGGCGAAACTCCTGGCCCGCCCTATCGATCCGTCTGGGGGTGCGAAAGGGAGGAGTGATCGAGAACGAAGAGGGATGGAGGAGGGTGACGAGGGAGGAAGAGGGAGAGATGGCGGGCGAGGAGGACGACAACGACGTCAACAACAACAACGACGACAACAGCGACGACGACAACAACGACGACGAGGATGACGACGACAGCGACGACGACGACGACGACGACGAGGGGAAGGAGGACGAGGAGGAGGAGGACGAGGAGGCGGCAGAGGAGGACGAGGGGGAGGAGGAAGGTGAGGAGGGGGAGAAGGAGGAGAAAGAGGAAGGAGGAAGGATGAGGAGACGAGAGGCAGCCCTCCGAGGTGCTCTGGCACCACCTGCTGAGCCCCGCGGCGCCGCCCGCGCTCCGGAGGCCCTCTGGCGACCTCCTCTCCCGGCGGGCGGGTTCTCGGCCCGGTCGGCGCCTTCGATGTTCGAAATTCGAGAATCTGACGCCTACTCCGAAGTTCGAATCGAGCTTCAGCTCTTCCTGCAAAAATGGACAGGTACCGATGACGTTCGGCACTAACGTCGCCCCCGCTTGGTGGACAGGCAGAGGACATCGGGAAGACGGCTTGGTCCAGCCGACGGGCGCGATGGGGGGCCTAACGCGAGGGCGATCCGATGGACGAGTGAAAGAAGACGAAGTAGAGGGGTCGTGTCGGTGGCGGCGCGGCCGGGGTGGTCTTGCCGAGGTTCGATCCCCTCATCTGGACGCCCGAAATGGGTACTGAAAGTATGGGTACAATGCCCAACAACAATTCCTGTTCATTTTGAACAGGATTCGCTGTCCGCGCCGCCGCGGCCTGTGTCCATTCGAGACAGAAGGCCGCCTGCCCAACAGCGGCCGCTGTTGGCTTGTGACAACATTTGTTGTTGGGCATAGTGCCCATTCTTTCCGTACCCATTTCGGGCGTCCAAACCTCAGGAAAGTTCCTGGAAGGAAGGAAGAAGAGAGGTGGGGAGAGTGGGGGCAGCAGAAGGAGAGGAGTGAGCGGCCGTCCCAGGGGGTCGGGGGGAGGCTCACCTCCTCCACCCTCTGTCGCCCCCTCTGATGTTGGAGTTCGGGTGCTGGCCGAAGTGGCAGAGGATGACAGGAGGGAGGAAAGACTTGGGGTCCTCCTCCTCTCCCTCCTCCCCATCTTCTTCCTCCCCCCTGCCAGGCTCGCGGCGCCGCACCAACACCTCGTGGATGCGCTTCGGAACAGCCGGTGCAGCAGCATCGACTGCCAGGACGGCTGGCCGCTGGCGGAGGATGGCGTTTTGTAGTGTCCAGTCCTCAGGGTATCGTCTCCGAGGCCGGACCGTCACGTTTGGGGTTCAAGCGCCCAAGCTCTCTCTTATCTCGGGTTCCGGAGGCCCCGCCCGTCTGGTGCGCGGCTCATCAGCATTGAGGTCATTGGGCTGGCTCTTCAGGCCTTGCGGTTCGACAGAGCGAGCCATTTGCTGGGAGCATGGCTTGGCTTACGTATGGGTTTCAATACCCGACCGAGGGCCCTGACCGAGGGCAGAGGGGGTTCTCAACGGCGGGGTGGGGGGTCCAGCTTCATGGGGAGGGGGAGGAGGAGGAGGAGATAATGTTTGAGGGATGGAAGTGTCCCGGTTCTGGCGAGGAGGGGATGTGATTTTGCGACTCACGACGCAGAGTGCCCGTGAAAGTCGTTCCCTCGGACGTGAAGACATGCGACGGATCGCAATTGCAGTGGAGACACGCACACAGACACCATTTGCGTTTCGTCAGGATCACTTTGGTTTCTTCGCTGCTTGGTGACTTCCCGTGGGCGATAAGAAACTATTGCATTACATTTCGCGCGCGGATTTTGGGGGTTGGGTGTCTTGCGAGGAGTTGTTGCGACCGCGTCCGCACTGGATGAGCTTTGGAGTGTTCGGTGGACCTCATGGTGCCTCGGACAACCTCGCGAGGCGAGAGCAGACACAGGTTGCACCAGACGTAGCACCCCTAGTTGCATTCGATGGAAGCATAGTGTCGAGTATCCAGGCGGTCCGCATTACATGTGAGCCTCAGTTCGCCACATCGCAGCGCCAGTTTGAAGAGCTTGGCGCGCGAAGGTGGTTCGGTTGGCGCGGCGTTGGCGTTGGCCGCTGCAACGCAGGAAGGTCCGTGCGGTGCAGTGTGGTGGCTACCGTGATAATTTGTGATAATTTGCGTGTTCATGTTTCGCTACTTCCTGAGTGGCGTTCTTAGTTTCTCTGGACACCCCCGCGCAGGGAAGAACCTCACCCTCTACTCTACTCCTCTCTTCCTTTTACATTCACACCCCTCTCCTCCCCCCCTCCTATTTCACACTCATCATCTCCATCACATCATCATCTGCCACCATCATACCATCAGGACCATCTGACACCATCATCACACTTACACTCACTCATACACTCACATACTCACAAAGTCATCTTGAGGACCTCTCGAGCGGGCTCTTCATCTCTGGGTGAGGTGTGAGGACGTCTTGAGCAGGGAGGGCCTCCCTATGGGGTCGCCAGAGCATGTTATTAACCTGATCGACCCATCCAACAATTGTAATTGACTACATTTTTGGGCCCCAGAGGCATGAATCTGGAGGTCGTCTCGGGCGGGAGCCTCGTCTCTCAGTGAATTGTCAGAACTTTGAAGCGGGGCCCCCTTCTTATGGGGCCGCCGGATCATGTTATTGCTCCGAGCGGGTCATCCAGAACCTGTAAGTGTCGTCATTGCTGGGGTTCCTGAGGCATGAATATGTGGGATGTCCCGGGCGGGAGCCTCGTTTGTCTGTAAATGCTGAAGAAGTCTCGTGCGAGGACGTTTGGAGCGGGAGCCCCCTCCCCATGGGGCCGCCAGATCATGTTATTAACCCGATTGAGTCATCGAAAACGTGTAAGTATTATTTATATTTGGGCTCCCGAGGCATGAGTGTGGGGGAAGTCCCGGACGGGAGCCGCCTCTTTCTGGGGCCGCCAGATCATGTCACGAATCTGGACCCATCCACATTTGTAAGTGTCGTCATTGTTGGGCTCCTGATGCATGAGTCTAGAGGACGTCTCGGGCGGGGGCTTCTCCCCGATCGAAAGCAGGTGGAGGCGGAGGCGGAGGAGGAGGATGGGGCAGGAGGAGGAAAAGGAGTACACCAGAGACCCGAGAAGGCTCCATGAGGCCCCAGAAGGCTCCAGGAGGTCGCAGGAGGCTCCAGGAGGCAACAATAGCTCCCAGGAGACCCCATGAGAAGGCAGGAGGCCCCTGGAGGAGGCAGGAGGAAGAGGAGGAGGACGAGGAGGAGAAGAGGGTCTGGGACCGAGCCAAGGACCCCCCGAGGTCCTGCAGCATTTCGTCCACTGAACTGCTCGGTCTGACCCTGAGCGTGCCCTGCACACTATCTCACATATTATTTTACAGGAGCCGCGACATGTTGTCCCTCTCCTACATTTCATTTCATGTGTAACCACTGCTCGAGAACCAGCTTGGCACAGACGAGCCGGAGCAAGAAGGTCTACTGCTAGAACTTTTGCTTCGACTGGTGAAGGCCATAGAGAAACTTCAGACACATCATAGCTACAATATGGTTGAAAGCAGGAGTGCCCGATCGAGAGGACCAGGAGTTCAGTGGGATTGCATGTTTTGCGGGAGGTACGTTAAGCCTCACCATTGGAAGCGCCTGCGCGGTGTATCATATGGAAAGAACGAAGCCATGCTGCCCAAGGTCGGAGCGCACTCCGGTATGAACGACGAGGGCCAGCCTGTGCCCGGGCGTCGGGAGCCCAATCGCCCCCGCCCACCTCGTGATCGCTCGAACGGCAATACATCGAATGGAGAAAGCAGTGAGACCCGTCATATTATCAACCAGGTGGTGCCAATGACGAGGAGCGGCGTTGCCAACCCGGCGCGTTCCAAGGAACTCGATCAGGAGGTACCACAAGAGGCCAAGGAACTCAGGTTATCAAAGCAAGGTAACAGAGCCAGAATGGTCCGTCTTGCTAATCTAACCATTGCCAGCAAGCAGACTGGGCATGACTACAACGCGGTAGAAGAAGAGCGAGGTGTTTGCAAGTTCATGCAGCAAACCACGGAGACAGTTTCCAAGCATATGCATCAGCTGAATCTTGCGCGTGCCAACGCCGTGTCCCGTTTCAGAGGCAGCAAGAAGAAGAACGGCAGACAGATGAGGAACTCGACAGGATTAGGAGTTGCATCGATGAGTTAGAGGAGCTCAACGACGAGTACGATGATGAGGACGACATCATGGGAGCACCGCCTGGAGTTGGAGGTGGACCAGTGGGGACTGCTCGAGCCGATCCGATACCAAGGCAGAACTCATCCAGCGGGAGCAGCACCTGAAGCTGCGCCGAAGCTTGAGGCCCAGGGGTGGGCAGCAACGGCGCGTGCAGCCGATGAGGGAGGTGTTGGGGTACCCTCCGGCTTCCCTCCCCAGTCAGGTTCGGCGGCAGCGGCAGCCAAACCAGATAGCCACCTCCCAGGGCCAGTTGGGCAGGCGCCGAGGGGGATGGCAATGGGAGAGGGTGCGACAGGTGCTGCGTCGGCACCGCAGCCTTTTTTCCCGCCGCCGCCCCCATGAGTTCCACGCAATCCAAGTCCGCCAGCACCTGTTGGCCTGCCTGAGATCTTTCACATGATGAACCACATGGTGTCCATCCAAGTTGCGCAGAATCATACGATCAACGAGGTGCAGCTGAAGATGCAGGAACCGCAGCAACATGGTCAACCAACAGTTGTGCCTCGGCATATGGGCCTTCTGACAGGGCGCGCAGCTGCGACGGCTGCAGCCCCGCCCCCCCCCCCCAACAAAAAAAAAAAAAAAGCCGCAGCAGCAGTGACAGTTCCCAAAAACACCGCCGTTACATGGCAGAGGAGTTCCACCCTGCGAGCGAGGAGCAATGAAGCCCGAGGGTTATTTCAGGACTCCTTCCTCGGTTCCGCCTGCGCAGCGCGCGCCGCCCACTGCAGTGTCGGGGAGCTCGGCCAAGGACGAACCCGAGACGCCTGCGCAGCCAGGAACGGGCGCGCCGATTGCGCCGACCCCGAGAGCCAGTCAGCTACAGAGCTACCCAGCTAGATGGAGGTGCAGCCAGCGAGTGGACCAGGAGCTCTTGGCACCGACGCAGAGCCCGCCTGCCAAGGCAGCTCGCAAGGAGGACGACATCTGAGCACGAATAGAGCGGCTAAGTCTGTGAATTGGGGCGCGGGTACTTTATCCCTGTATAATCTTGATGTCGTGCCCACAATGCATCCCCCCCCCCAAGGCTAGGCCCTCTCGGTCAGCTTTGACGCCTGCCCTTCCTAACACTCACCACAGGGCTCATTCGGCACCTTCTCATTGTTGCCTTGCCTCCTGCGAGGGGCAACTTAGCGCAGCAGAGAACAGCCTGCGGCAGTTGTTCGCGCCAGCTGTAGCATTAGCCAAGCAATGTTCCGCGCCAGTCTGGGACCATCTGGCGCAAACTTGCATTTGCATGACTTTCAAGTTTGAACAGTGTCCTTGGGAGATGCAATTCAGGCGGGGCTTCCTGGCCGGAATGCGCCCCCGTGTTAATCTGGAGCTTCTTGAGACTATCTTGATAGATCCGACAGATTGGGGGGCGCAGCATTCTTGCGGAGGCGAGCGGGCTGTAATCTGCGCGCAGCCGTCTTTCATTGGCCTCGCTAGTACACTTGGAACTGGGCAACGTGCCCGAACGATTTCCGCATGGGGAGGAGTTGGAGCGTTTGATTTACCATGGTGAATATGGGGATCGCTCATCTCTACTTAGTCTTTCCCGACGCCGATGCCCTGCCGGCGGGCTCCCACCGAGACGCTTGCAAATTTCTGCCTGCATGCGACCGGCCCCCATAAGCACGGCTGCAGCTCTACCCCCTACTGCCGAATATCCTGGGGGCTCTCGGTTGGCAGGGCATGGTTTGCACCGCCAGGGGGGACTTGGTGGGTTTAGGGCTGACAGACAGCCTGCCATGCTTAGACTCGAAAGTGCGCACATGCTTCGCCGCCCACACATTTGACGGCCAGGTGCCGCAGGGCTTTAGTGGTTCACTTGTCTCATCTCTAGCTGCAGGAAATCTGCGCGGCAGCCCCGCCCTCCTCAACTCCATTCCGCTCTTACCTCTTTTCCCTGGGCGGGCATTTCGGGTTGCTCCCTCGCGGCACCTAACATCGAAGCCAGTAATGGGATCGAAGACCCCCTGTTTGCGGGCAGTCCGTGCATCGTCGGCCGGGCCCTTGCATCCCGATGGGGTCGTCTACCCTTTTCGATCTGACCAGTGGCTCCGCGCCTGCCCTGAATGAGGAGGCCCCTCGCAATGAGCTGCCGGAAGTGCCCAGGATGGCCTTCGAGTTGGCCGAGTTCCGTCAGGGGCCGTTTCAGGGCTTGCACATCGCCACGGATGGCTCGGCTCGGAAGGACCTAGAGGTCCCTGCCACCTGGGCCTTACTAGTTGTTTGGCAGGATGCGTCTGGCTTCTCTTTTCAAGGATGGTGGGCAGAGGTGATTGGGGCTTCTTGCAGGACCAACCACGCATGCCACTCCGACCAGCACGGAAAGCGCACGTCGGAGTAATTTGGGCAGGGATTTATCTCATGCAGGAACCGACCTTGGTTCCAGCTTGCGTGGAAACCGACTCACTCAACGTAGTTAGAGCCATCTCTGGCTTGTCTGCCCCCCCCCCCCCCCCCCCCCCCCCCCTGCGTCCACGATTGCATCGGCAGGCTTGCTTGTGCTATGTGGCACCAGCTGCGATGCAGGAGGCGTGTTTGCATTCGGCATGTCAAGGGACACGTGGAGCACCCTTGGAACACTCTTGCTGGTTAGCTGGTGGGCGCCGTTCTAATGGCTAAGATCCCATCTACGGGGCCCCCGAGACACCTTCTTGAGTTCGCCCTGCACTCCAGGGGGCGCGGGTTGGATTGGCGCGCTGGCGCCAGTCGCAGCGACCAGGCGGCATCCCACAGCAGCTCGGAGGCAATAGCACGCCGATGCCCAAATGCTGGGCGGGGGAACTAACATACGGTCTTGTGGGCACCGCCCCCCCCAGGAGACGCACTCCCAATGGGTTCTCGTCAAGCTCCAGGTGGCCAATAATGCGCGATCATCTACCGCCAGGTTCACTCACGGCACGGCTGGCAAGATCAGAACGGCTGGGGCCAACGCGCTGCGCATCCAGATGGCTGCTCAGAAAGCGCGCATTATGGGGTTCCAGGAGACCAGAACCCCAGAAGGATCCAGGAAGGCGGGCGGCTTCCACACCATATCTTCTGGGCGCGACGGCAAGGGTGTAGAGGTTGTTGTTTGGGCCATCGCATGGGCCCCTTTTACGCTCGCGGGGGGAGGGGGCCCCTGCCCTTGTGCAGGCAGCATGTCCGAGTTTTGGCAACGAACGCCCGTTTGCTTCTCACAGGACCTGAGCCTGCCCTATCTGAGACAGCGCCCATTGCCCATGTACCTCGCAGCAAGATCGATCCGAATATCAGGTTGGCCTTTTGGGCTAAGGTCTACAGACTTTGCGAGATTTGGCCCAGACTTGCGAGGTCTTGACACCTTTCGGATGGATGCCGAGGAAGGCCGTACCTTTGTGTCCAACAAAGGGCCAAGGCACAGGATTGACTACGTTCTTGGTGATGCCAGGCACCACGACAGCGCTGTCCAGTGCAGATTGCGCCACTCCTTGGACAACGGCCTCCACGCCAAGGACCATGCTCCTCTCTTCGTGCACTTCCAGTGGGCCGTTGCGGTCCGCCGTCGTCGCCAGGGCACCCCGGCGAAACTTGGCCAGCGCAAACTGGACGATCCCAGTCGCGCGGAGGCGTTCACGCGGGCCCTAGAGGACATTTCCCTGCACCCCTGGGGCACCGAACACGATGAGACCACTTTGGAGATTCCCAGAGATGTCTTGGAGGCTGCCCAGAGCTGTTGTGGTTGCGACCTCAAGGCGCCGAGGAAGTCCCACATTCCCCCCGAATTTCTAGCTATGATTTTTTGGAGGAGAGGAGTTCAGAGGGCCCGCAGGGGGTGATTCAGCGGTGCCCCCAATTGCCCCAGTGATTCCAGATGGCACAGCGCTTCAGTTGACAGGTCTGCCAGTAGAGTGCTGCACGGCGATCTCCACCAACTGAGATCAGAACAAGAGCATCCCATGATGTGTCAGTTGCTTGACTTGGTTCGTTGCGCGGCTCGAATGACCAAAACAGGAGACATGCCCAAGGGCGATTCCGCAGTCAGATTTGTACACTTACTTGTTAACAGCACTCAAGCGATGTCAGACAAGCTCGAAGATGATCATTCGTCCTTGTTGGAGAACCTGGCTGAGGGAGTTGTCGTTGCTGATGCCAGCATGCAGAAAGAAGAATGGAGACATATTTCCCATAACCTTTCCCATGGGGGTCTGAGTTCTGGAACCACGTGCGCGACCTCCACCACCCCCTATAGGGCCGACGAGGGCGCACCCAGGGATAACCATATGGCGACACCACGAGCTCTGCGATTGATAAGGCCTTTCCAGAACATCCGACCCCACCTGCTTCGGCAACCCATGATGAGGTAGTGGTGGTCATGCAGTCACACTTTCGCGCGATAGAGAAAGCTCAGGGAGTTTACGCACCGCACGTGGTGCAAGAATACAACAACCTACCAGGCATGAGTGCAGATATGGAGCACCGTCTTGTTTAGCATGTTCCGCCCCTCTTGGATCTAGAGATTTTCATGAAACCAACGAATAGGGGCAAGGCTCCAGGGCTGGATGGCGTTCCCAATGATTTGCACAAGCTTGCCCCGCAGCAGCTGGCGCGGCTCCTTTGCCCACTTATCGCTAAACGCATTGCTTTAGGTCGCGAGCTCTTAACCTTTAAGCTCGGCGAAGTTGTTTATTTTTCAAGGGATCGGGGGCTAACTCTCTTGCAAAGAATCAGCGTAACATTCCATGTGCAAATTACACCATAGGCACATCAGGCACCCTGCACACGATTTCATGGCCTAAGCACTTCTCAAAGTGCAGCGCGGGGGATTTGGAGGGAGGAGCATTGAGATGGTCTCCTTAGCTGTCAGGGCGTTCCTATCGGCGGCTCAGATTTCCAAGACCTCGGCCCTCGTGTTCTGTTTGGATTTGGTTCAAGCGTTCTACATGACTATTAAACAAATGGCGATAGCCTTGCCTGGTGAGGGAAGCAGATTGGAGGAGGCTCTCGAAACCTTCGAACTCAGCCCCCTTTCTGATGGAAGGAGTCAGGGCCCAGCTCCAGATTGGGCCCCTCCTAGAGGAGCACATCGCAGAGCCCGTGCTGATGAGGCTCATCCAAGAAACCCAACGTGAGACGCTCTGGAAGGTAAGGGATGCCAGGAAGTTCGCCCCCCTGCTCTCCGCTCAAGGCCGGGCACAGCTTGGGCGACGGAAATTTTTATTTTGCGTTTAGGAGGGTACATTTGAACATTCAGCAGTCTGTTGTTGCATGTGGTTTAGATCTCCACTCCGCCCTCACTCAGCCCCCTCCTGTGTTTGCCGCGGAAGATGAGTGGCGAGAGTGCACCGCGTATTTTTTCTTTCGTTGGTGACTTGCCAGTACTGGCAGCCATGCCGTTAGCTTATGAAGTGCCAGAGATGGTGTTGACGTTGGCGGAGTGCATATTTCTCGCGGCCTCCAAGGCAGGGTTCAGGAAACATGACAGCAAGTCCAAGTTCTCGATGGCGCTCCGAGGCAAAGGCCCCAGAAAGGTTCCGGGGGATCTCCCTGGAGGCCATTGGCCCCGCATCACTTCCAGGAGGTGGTATGTCAATTTTCCTGTGTTGAAGGTTCGTGAGATGCTGGGGTCTCCGGTTTTTGTGGATGGCTCAATGAGTTACGGCCCGCTGTCTACAACCGGGGGCGCCCTCAAACCCACCCGGAAAATTGTCGCCCCCAGGAAGGCCCTTTCCCTCCAGTCCAAACTCACTTTTTTTCCCGAGGCTCTTGGATCGACTGTTTTATTTTTGGGGGGCCCGGCTTGGACCAGATTGCCCAAGAGTTTGGAAACCAAGGTTGCCTTGGCTCATCCTGGCATACCGCGTGGCCATGGCCCTGCCTGCCGCGAACAGTCCTGAATTGCACGCCCCATCGGCACAGGCGGTTCTTGAAGCCAACCGGTTTCCCACTCAGGCAAGCATGTCAGTGGCAAGGCTGGGGCTGCTCGCGCGCGTTCTTTCTTGTGCACCCCTGCGCCCCCCCCCTCTCCTGGGCACACATTTAAGATGCCCATAAGGCCCGTCAAGTTTTTTGTTTGTTTTATGCATCTCTTCTCTGGTCACAGAAGGCCAGGGGATGGTTCATTCACATTTTAAAACCTTGCTTGGAACCTCCCCGTCTAGATTATTTGTTCCGAGCATCGACGTGGCTCACCATCCCATCATTGGAGACTTGACCAACGGTGGTGCAGTGAGGATTTGGTTGGAGTTGTTGGGATCAGGCAGGGCGGCAGCAGTTCTGGCTGGACCGCCGCGCGAGTCACGGTCAGCAGCTCGACATCGACCAGCTCCACAGGCCAGGCGCCCACCGCGACCGCTGAGGTCCATTGACAAGCCATGGGGGGTCGGGCCACTTGTCGCAGAAGGAGAATGGTCAAGTTGAGCACGCCAACGAGCTATTTAGGACTACTATCACATTTCTGCACGAGTCCTGGCTGCACGGCGCACCAGCTATCATGGTACACCCCGCGCGCGCCACGCATGCCCAGGGGCGCCCTAGTGTTTGGCTTCTCCCACAGATTAGGGCCCTCGTCGGGCTCCAAGGTGTTTCCAAACATCTCATCAACCAGTGTCCTTTTGGGGCCAGCGTTATGAAACCTACTGTGCTTTTATGTGCGCATCTGCGTGCCATCGATCAACTTTTTGTGTGCATGAGTGGGGGGGCCCTTTGCAACCACCCCTGGCCCCACTCGGCCCCGTCGGGCTTTTCGGTTTCTGATGCGTGGGGGGACGGCGGCTGCCAAAGCTTACCCCTCTGGCCTTTGGAAGGCCTTGGCTTCATCCCTCCCGAATGTTGCCGGCCGCAGTGTTGTAGAAGTCTCGCCCGCGTTTCCTCCGTCGCCCCTTTGTCTTCCGTCCCTCTTCCTCCCTCCCTCCTGGCCTGGCCTGGCCTCGCCTCTCATCCCCGCTCGTCGTGCGTCCCTCCCTTCCCCCCGTGCGTCCTTTCTCCCTCCTTTGAAGCACAGCAGAATTACGCATGCGCATCCACAGCCTCGTTCCGCAGCTTGCAGGGCGGATGCCGTCAAAGACGGGGTCCCGGCCCATGCCCCGTGCACGTGCCCATGGGCTGCCCCAGCCTACGGCTTGACCTGACCTGGCCTCGTCCCTGTTGCAAGAGGCCAGGGATAGATACCCTGAGATGCATGTGGATGGCACTGGCCGCGGGATCCATGACGCTCTCGCCCCCAGCTCGCCTGGTGACCTGCGTTGGACGCAGGCTCGCGAAACTGCGCTTAGGAGTGCCGTGGACCTTGATTCGGCAGGTGACGACTGGTCCCGGCGGGAATCAGGCGATACTACACGGCCACTGACCCGTACATGACCGCTCACGCGGCCATGGACTGAGTGAGTCACTACACGACACGGGATCGGTCATAATCCATTATATTGTTTTGTGTCGTGCCGCGGGGACCCTGCTGCCTTGTTTCCTTACCTCTCCCCCTTTTCCTCCCTTGGGGTTGCTGTTCAGGTTGAGTGGTGCACGGGGAAGGGCCGAGGGGTGAAGGTGATGCCGCGCCAAGACCGCCGCCACAGTGTCCGTTTTTTATAAAAAGTAAAAAACAACCCTTTGGTGTTGTAGCTATAGGTCTGCAGCTCGCCTTTGACAGTACCTGCACCCGCCTGAGTGAAGGAGTGTTTCTTTTGCCCATCACCTCGCCCGCATACCTTGGGTTTCCTTTGCGCCTTAGGCAGTAATTCAGACTCCTCATCACCAATTTTTTGTGCGCGCTTTGCGCGGCTGCAGCGATCCACTGCGTTTGCTGTTGCCTCTCTTTTCCACCGTCCAATGGTCTGTCTTTCCCATCCTGTTGAATGAGATTCGACCTTCCTGCTCGCCACCGGCCGACCGACCGAGGAGGAGAAGGAGGAGGATAAGGAAGGTGCATCCCAAGAAAGAGGCAGATCGAGGAGGAAGAAAAGGAGGAAAAGGACAAACCAGGCGGAGGAGGAGGAGGAGTGCCCCGTCAGGCCCCAGACGGCTCCAAGAGGCCCCAGGAGGCTCCAGGGGATCCCCGAAACAGGATGTCCAACGAGGAGGCAGGAGGAGGCATGGAGAGGAGGAGGAGGAGGAGGAGGAGGAGGAGGAGGAGGAGGAGGAGGAGGAGGAGGAGGAAGGCGCGGCAGAGCGGAGAGGAGGAGGAGGAGGCAGGAAGAGGAGTCAGTTGATGAGGCAGCAGGATGAGGCAATAAGAGGGGGTAGGAGGATGTTTCCAGGCAAGCTAAAACGATTATCGTGTGGGGTCCTACCGTCGGAGTAATTGCGTGGCAACTTGAATGTGCACAGGCAGTCAACGGACTCATCAGTCCGTCTGAGCCGCAGATGGCAGCGGTGCGGTGTGGGACGATGTGGGGGGCTACCGTGAGAATGTACGTTCTTCGTCTTCTACGTCTGATGTCGTCGGGACTACCAGGGCTAGATCCAGGTACAGGCAGAGGAACGATTGCGCAGTGAGCGAGTTAGCGGGTTGTTTCTTCAGCGCTTGCGTTCTGCGGGCCGATGGCCCCCCTCGCCATCGTCTGGTTGGCAGGGCCATGCCTTGGTGGATGGGATCAGGACTTGGCGGGTGTAGATATCATGGCCAGGGCCACAATACCTCCCCGGAATTCTTCACGCTTCGCGTATCCCCACCAGCCCATCTCAAAACAGCAACTCTAGCGAAGCATGGCGACAGTCGTGTTTTTCAGGCGTGTTTCCGCCTGCCCCCGCATATCTCCCCTGTTCCTCCTTCCTCCCGCCTCCTTGTACATCCTCCTTGTGGTGGGAGCGGGAGAAGGACGAGGCGAAGGAGGAGGGAGAGAAAGCGCTCCTCGTGGTTTGAGTCGTTCGGGCTTCTCGTCCTGGTGTGAGTCGTTCGGGCCCTTCTTCCTGGTGTGAGTCGTTCGGCTCTTCGTGGTGTGAGTCGTTCGGGCTCTTCGTCCTGGTGTGAGTCGTTCGGGCTTCTCGTGGTGTGAGTTGTTCGGGCCCCTCGTCCTGGTGTGAGTCGTTCGGGCCCCTCCTGCCCGTCCAGAAACGACGCCCAGGCGAGTAGAGGGTCGTCCTGAAGGGCTTTTCGGCGTCTTGGGTGCCTCGGGGGGGCCTCTTTGGGCCGTTTGGGATCCTCTTGGGGGCCTCCTGGGGGCCTCTTGGGGCCATCTTGGGGCCTCTTGGTGCTTCCTGGGCGCTTCTTGGGGCCATCTTGGAGGAAATCGATCAAAGAAGAGGGGAGCTTTGATTAGCGCTGCCCCCTCAGAAGGACAACATGGGGCCAAAACATTAGTAAAATCAATGATTCTGGCTTGAAAGAAGAGGGGAGCTTTAATTAGCGCTGCCCCCTCAGAAGGCCAAAATGGGGCCAAAACCGTAGTAAAATCAATGATTTGGGCTTCAAAGAAGAGGGGAACATTTTTCTCCCTCCCCCCGTCGGGGCCAGAATCCTCGTGAGGGGTGTCGAATTTTAGCCCTCCCAGGAGTCGAAAAAGACCCCTCTGACCACCCGCGAAAGGACCTCTCCAGGCCCAGGGAGAGGGGGTAGGGGGAGGGGTAAACCCCTCCCCGAAGGGGAAGAAGGGGGGTTGAGAACAGAGAGAGCTCGCTAAACCACTCACGCCCAAAGGGCTGGTGGGATTCATGGCCTTTCGTCTTATTCCAGTGCGTTCTGCGGTCTCCCCCTCATCCGCGCACATGTCTCCGGGATTTGCGAAGCCCCCTTCTTGGACGACTCCTTCTTGGACTCCCCCGAGTTACGGGGAGGTAGGCTCAGGGAGGGCAATCGACTTTCAATCGCCCATTCATCGCCGACAGGGGCCCGATAGCGGTCTCGCTACCGAGGGCCCATCGCCGATCTGTCGGCGATGCACCGCCGATTCCAGCTTGATGGTTTCCCCCTGGGCTGGTTACTGTCGTTCCCCCTCGCGGAGGTGAAGCGATCGAAATCTGCGGCCGTCCAGCTGCGGAGATGGTGGATCGCAGAGCTGGAGCAGCCGCGCTCGGAAAAGGGTGCACGCTCGGCCCTCTCCTCTCCTGTGAGCGCGGCGTGAAGCAGGCCTCGAGCGAGCATCTATTCGGCGGTGCGCCCAGGGGGGAAGGCAGAGGGAGCGGGTCTTCTCATAGGTTTTCTAAGCCTTCTCCGAAGCCTCAGAGGGTGTGTCAGAAGTCAGACGGCTGGAGGGCGTGTGAGAGGCCCCGTTGCCTTTGAGAAGGCTTGTTCCCTCTGGCTCCCTCCGAGCGCCGCCGACAGGGGCTTGCTAGCTAGGGCAAAGGATGTTTGAAGAGGACGGCTTGAGGGAGAGGGTGGGGTCTTGGCAGCATTGGATCCACACTGCCTCTGACGGGGTCGGCTCACGGAGTGATGCGCAGGCAGCCCCTTGCATGTTTTGTCGCACTTGGGTTGTTTTCTCCGTGTTCTGTCAGGTTGCGCAACGCTGATCTTGCTGGCCACTTTGCTCGGATGGCTCAGCCCACACGGGCAATCCTTTTCCCCTCTTCTGCCCTGTCCACAGCGGACACGCGCCGCCTGGGCCAAGGCTTCTGACAAGGTCAGATCGGACAGTGCAGAGCCTATGCGCCGTCCAGACGCGGCCTTTCCGCTCCAAACTTGTCCCAGAACGCGCAGGAGTGGCGGCGGCACCCGACACCCCCTGCAGACCGCCGGATCTCTGAGACTCCCAATCTTCCGAGGCAGGAATTGTTCCATCTTCGAGGTATCTCTTTTGTAACCACCGCTTGGGGGATCGATCTTCGGGGACTTCGGCAGGCGGTGGATGATGAGATCTTCAGGATCTGGGGACGCTATGTCGCTGTCAGCGCCCAAACGGCGGATTGGCAGATAAAGAATTGCGCGCGTGAGTTGCATGGAGAGGGGAAGGAGCAGGAGGAAAGAGGAAGAAGAGAAGGGGGAGGAAAAAGGACGCCATAACAAAGAAACCCTGTGCTCTGGCAAGAGCGTGTAGACACTGGAAGCCAACCGTTGTTGAGGTCCCCCTCTCTTCCTCTTGTGTCCCCATAGCCTGAGCAATTTTTTGCCAGTCTCACAGCTAAGGAACTTGAGGAGGTTATTTTCCGGGAGTGCCGAAATCGTCTTGTACAGGTTCATTTGCCGATCACGGGGCGTTTCGCTCAGCGGCGTTTCCTGCGTACGTTCCAGGACTGTGTTGTTTCTGAAAACACGTCGCAAGCACTGCGCGTGGAAATTGTCTAAGCGAGCACTGTCCGCTTGCAATGCCCAGACAGTTTCAAATGTAAACAACAACTTGGGCAAGACAATTGCCTTGCACAATTGAATTGTTCGATCGCGGCAGGCATTCGCGTGCGACCAACACTTAGACAGAGATTGAAAAACAGATTTGGCCTCACCGATTATCCGAGTGACTTTCGGTTTTGCGGAGCAGTTCACGTTCAAGAGCCCTCAGAGATACACCACCCTGGTCCACCATTTTCAGCGGGGCGCCGGTGGGAGAAGCACAGTGCCAGTATGGTGTACACGAATACATAAAGTTCTATCTCAATTCAAATCAAGTCCATATCTCGCGCATTCGTCGATGACCGTGTCGAGTAATGTTCGAAGTTTCCCAGATATTGCTGAGTAGCATATTGTTGTCGGCATATATGCAAGATCACCGCATGCCAAGTAACTGGAAATCACCATGTAGGCCAACCATTACGTTGTCGACGTCGAAGAACATGACACTCTGTACGATAATGGATGAACATGTTGATAATGGACAACCTTGTGCGATCCCTGCTGCTTGATATCGCCTCAACCATGTTCAACGTGTCTGGGGGGATGCCGAATCTTCGCAGCTCGTCCAAAAGCGTGTCGTGCTTGATCCGTTCGAATGTTCGAACGACTTAGACCAACCCAATAGTACTGCAACCAAGCCTTGGGATTGCCATGTTCCTGTAGCCTCCTGCATCCTCCGGGCAATGCTGATCGCCTGGGAAGTGCTTCTGCCCAGGCGGTAACCAAATTGAGTTGAATGAGTTCTGTCTTCGGCTTCACCATTTGGATTTGTTCCTGCAGCATCCATGGCACAAGCTTGTACCCAATCGCCGGCAGAGAGATCGGCCAATGATTCTCTGCCAAAGTGGTGTCGCCCTTTTTTATCAAAGTGCCAAGACTGAGGTATGCCATTCTTCTGGTATGTATTTTTCGTCCCAGTACCCAGCACCTCTGAACGGAAATTAACAATTCTCCGCATGCCTCTTCAGAGAACAATAATGCTTTCCAGAAGTCTGGTGGTATGTCGTCTATACCCCTTGTCTTCCCAGCGGCGAGAGCCCGGAGTGTGCGTCGGAGCTCTTGCATATCGATTTTTTTGGTTTGTATGCGTAGTGTATCTTCAAAGTGTGTTCGCCCACCCGGTAGCATATCAGCGTGCGTTATGTATCATTGGTTTTTTTTTGAAATGTTCTGCAATGCGTCAGCTTGTTGTGTACTCTCGACCACTTGCCCATGCCTGTTGCGAATGTGCATTGGTTTCTTAGGGGGTCCTTTCCCCAAGGCCAATACAGAGGCCAATTTCCCAACATCCAGTTATAAGTCCAGCCACCTTTTGTCTCTCCTCACTGATACCTTCATAAGTCTTGTGAGCTTCTGCGCTTCCAGTGAGTTCCCTGCTGCTTGGATACCATCCCTCCGACTCAAGAACTCCAGCGTGGTTTGAGAGATCCATGGCCAGTTTCGTTCCTTCCCAGAGTCTTCGATTGCTTGTGCAGCATACAGCATTGCATCCGACGCATCGGCATCGTCGGCACCACCGCTGCCTCGTAGACGCACTGGCGGTAGTTCCCAGCAATCTCGTCGCCCACCATTAGCATGTCTTGTTGGTATTTGTTCCTACGGTGTTTCTTGCATGTAGTATCGAACCAACTGCCCGACATCAGACGTAATAGAACATGTCGAGAAGGCAATGTGATTGGTCGATTCGCCCAACTATTTGTAATCTTCCCAATCGCATTGTGGTCAGCAAGGCAGACACCAATTTGAGCAAAACCTTCTCCTATCGGACTCGTTCTGGCCACTTCCACCCAGTAATACGTGACACGGTGTTCCAACGGTTGTTCACAAAATGCGTTGGCAATGGTGGTAGATGTTGTTTCGCCAGCAAGTCTTTATTAAGGTAAAAGTTCTGTGTCGTGGCCATTTGTTCCCCACATCCAAAGTGGGGTTCTTGTTTTCTCTGGACACCCCGCGCAGGAACAGGAACACACACACACACACCCATTCACACTCACTCACACTCTCTCATCACCAACCTCATCAGCATCATCGATGATGCTCTCTCACATGCTTGGTCACTCACATACTCATCATCATCATCACTCGCACTCTCTCACACGCTCACGAACATCATCATCATCATCATCATCATCATCATCATCATCATCATCGGCATCGGCATCATCCTCATTCAAACATCATCATCGCCACCACCACTCACAATCAATCATCATCCTCTTCACCACTCATCTTCACCACCATTCATCATCCTCATCCTCATCATCGTTGAGTAAATTGTGAGGAAGTCTCAGGCGGGAGCCCCCTCCCTTTGGGGCCCGCATATCATGTTGGCAATCCGAGCGGGTCATCGGAACCCTGTAGGTGTCGTCACTTTTGAGCTTCCCAGGCCTGAAAATGGAGGAAGTCTCAGGCGGGAGCCTCGTTTGTGAGTGAATTGGGAGGAAGTCTCAGGCGGGAGCTCCCTCCCTATGGGGCCCGCAGATCATGTTGGTAATCCGAGCGGGTCATCGGAACCCTGTAACTGTCGTCACTTTTGGGCCCACCAGGCCTGAAAATGGAGGAAGTCTCAGGCGGGAGCCTCGTCTGTGAGTGAATTGGGAGGAAGTCTCAGGCGGGAGCCTCGTTTGTGAGTGAATTGGGAGGAAGTCTCAGGCGGGAGCTCCCTCCCTATGGGGCCCGCAGATCACGTTGGTAATCCGAGCGGGTCATCGGAATCCTGTAACTGTCGTCACTTTTGGGCTCCTCAAGCCTGAATTTGGAGGAATTCTCAGGCGGGAGCCTCGTCTGTGAGTGAACTGTGAGGAAGTCTCAGGCGGGAGCTCCCTCCCTATGGGGCCCGCAGATCACGTTGGTAATCCGAACGGGTCATCGGAATCTTGTAACTGTCGTCACTTTTGGGCTCCTCAAGCCTGAATTTGGAGGAATTCTCAGGCGGGAGCCTCGTCTGTGAGTGAACTGTGAGGAAGTCTCAGGCGGGAGCCCCCTCCCTATGGGGCCAGCAGATCATGTTGGTAATCCGAGCGGGTCATCCAAAACCTGTAACTGTCGTCAATGTTGGGTTCTGGCGCTGCCAGAACGCAGCTCCCAGGCCACATTTTGCACGCAACAAGGAAGTTTTTCCCCACATCCAAAGTGGGGTTCTTGTTCCCCACATCCAAAGTGGGGTTCTTGTTTTCTCTGGACACCCCGCGCAGGAACAGGAACACACACACACACACACCCACTCACACTCACTCACACTCTCTCATCATCAACCTCATCAGCATCATCGATGATGCTCTCTCACATGCTTAGTCACTCACATACTCATCATCATCATCATTCGCACTCTCTCACACGCTCATGAACATCATCATCATCATCATCATCATCGGCATCGGCATCATCCTCATTCAAACATCATCATCGCCACCACCACTCACAATCAATCATCATCCTCTTCACCACTCATCTTCACCACCACTCATCATCCTCATCCTCATCATCGTTGAGTAAAGTGTGAGGAAGTCTCAGGCGGGAGCCCCCTCCCTATGGGGCCCGCAGATCATGTCGGTAATCCTAGCGGGTCATCGGGATCATGTAATTGTCGTCACTTTTGAGCTCCCCAGGCCTGAAAATGGAGGAAGTCTCAGGCGGGAGCCTCGTCTGTGAGTGAATTGGGAGGAAGTCTCAGGCGGGAGCTCCCTCCCTATGGGGCCCGCAGATCATGTTGGTAATCCGAGCGGGTCATCGGAATCTGTAACTGTCGTCACTTTTG